GATCTATTTTGCAGTTGGAATGATTTTTTGAAATTTATTTAGGCAGTCCAGTCCTTCCTTTTTCCAAAAGTCCCGGTTCTAGCAGATAACGTATTGGGGTCCACTTCCACTCGAGGACGGTCCTTCCTTTTTCCAAAAGTCCCGGTTCTAGCAGAGCTAGTTGTAGGTAGTCCGCAGTTTTGCCAAGGACCGGTCCCCCAATTTTTTTTTGCCCCCTAAGAACCCACTTTGCGTCCTGGTCGCCCGCCGCCAAAAATGCAACACCTTGACGCAGACGCGGAAGCACACTATACCGCAGCCTAAGGGCTGCGAATAACGAAGGATGACAAAATTGTCTCAGGGGCAGGGTTGCCAGGCAAAACGTAGGGAGGCCCCGAACCTGACCTCCGAACGTTTGGGCGTTCGGGTCCCCGTACGAGGTCCGAACCTGAAGGGGTTCGGACCCCGCAAAATATTCTTTCAGCACCTAAATATTATTATTTTTTTCTGGATTGTTTTTTTTGAGTTCTTTATGATGTAAGGTATCTCACACTTAATTTTGAAGCCATTCTGTCAAGCCAAAACAAAATGAAAAATCGACAAAGATGGTGGTATCAAAACTTGTTTACCCTCTCACTAATTTGTTTTTTTTCTCTTTTCACTTTTTGTTTTTCTAACATTTCAGGGCATGAAAAAAATATTATTTTTTCAAACTTTATTTGTCGATTCTCTATTATGTAAGATACACATTTAAAATTTTTCATGGCATTTGTCACAGCCAAAAAAAAATGAAAAATTGCCAAAGGGGCTCGTTAGACACTCCTCGGGCGCGTAAAGTCCCCGAGGAATTGTTTGTTCAACCTATCCTCGGGGATGCAGTCGGAAAAAAAAAGCGAAAACACTTCGAAGGAAATTTCCTTGGGCTCCGAGGATTCCCCAGCCATTTCTTCTTTTTGCCCAAGGGACCTCACGAGGTCCCTTGGGCAAAAGGAATCCGTGTTTCGCGGAGAGGAGCGGGCACATGGGTAGAGAGACGTTACAACCGCTGAAGGCCTCAAGCACATTTTGTTTTATTTTTTCTTTCTTTTTCCTTTTCTGACATCGCTCGAAGGAAATGTCCTCGGGCGACGTCCCCGAGGACATGTGGAACAAAGGTCCCAAAAGGAAAATTCCTTTTGAACCAAAAGGAATTTTTCCTTTTGCCCGAGGATTTCAATAGGAGTGTCTGATGAGCCCCAAAGATGACGGTGTCAAAAACGTGCTCGCCCACTCAATAATTTCATTCTGGTTTTATTTTTTTAATTTTCATTATTGTTATATATTTTATTATTTTTAGTATTTGATTTTTATTTCAAATTTGGTAAAGAATTTGGATGTCAGGTTGAGGCAGATGTTGTTTAGAAAAAAAAAGAAAAAAAAAAGTCATTTAGTTTATTCTTAAGATATATTTTTTTCAGAGTTCTGGGATTTTTTTTTTTTTTTTTTTTTTTTTTTTTGGGTCCGCGTTCGGGGAACGGCCGAACGCGTCGAGAGGGGGCGCCGAACGGGGGTTTGGCACGACCTGTCCCAAACGCCGACAACCTTGCTCAGGGGTGTAAAACCCAACCCCGAGGGGCTGTGAACTACGGGCTGCGAATTACGGGCCGTGCAAAACGGACGGGCTGTTCGCAGCCCGTCAGGGATGCGCTTTCCCCCCATGAGACATTCAACGTTCAACGTCGTGGTCGTCGGGAGGGTGGTCATTTTTTGGTTTTGGGGCCTTGCAAGGGCTAGGACCGCGTAGGACCAGTAGCTGCGCGGTCCAGGACTGGTTGCTGCGAGTAGGAGGCCGAGGAGGCCGCAGTCCTTTTTCGAAAATGAAACTGTGCGGGTAGTCCTTTTTCGAAATCGAAACGGTGCAGGTCCTACACGTTGTATTCGAATACAACCTGTACTGTACCCTTTCTATTCGGATTTCGAAAAGAAAAAACTCTTGTATTCCGATAAAATTATTTCTTCTTTTTGTTGGAGGTCAGCGCCTGCCCTTGTGCTCCCCG